CTGATTTCTTAAGGAGAAAATTAGGTTATTATTTTAAAAGCCTTTTTCTTGTTTAGTGTAGGTGTTTACAGCTCCCTCTGAGCACCACTTTAGTGGCATCTCATAAAGTTTGGGTGTGTTTTCCTTTTAATTGATTTCAAAGTATTTTTCTAATTTTCTTTGTGATCTCTTCTTTGACCTATTGGTTACTTAGGAATGTCTTTTGTTTTTTATCTGTCATATTTATTAAGTACTTACTAGTGTATACTAAGATAGGATTATGTGATGAAGTCCCTGCTGCTTACTTTCTAAAAATCATGACATCTAATTTTAGCTGCTCTCAAAGAAGAAAGTGTTAAAAACAAGTAGTTAACAGAAAAGAAGGACCTTCATTCTTATAAGCAGACTTTAACATTTAATAACATATAATAAAGATAGACCTGGTATTGCAGAGGCCCTACTGAAGTCTAATCTAATATCCTACTTCTGTGAAATAAGCTCTCTGTGGAAAGTAAGAAAAAATCCAGTGGCTAGCAGGTTTCTTTTCTTAGTGCTGGTGGGTAGGAAGACAGGTCTTCCGAGTGTTTCCCTTACAGCCTTCTATCCTCAGCTCACAAATGTGTTTTGGGCAGGAAATAGGGGTAAAATGGATAATGGATAAAGAGGTACACTGTTGTAAAAGAGAGCCAGTTAAGTTTTCATGTGGGTCTATGTCAGTGGAAATAAAATTAGAACAGAAAAAAAGGTAAATATTTGGGTTATTTTCATAGTTTTTTTGGAATTTGTGTTGGTCGTAGAAATCAGTACTTTTATTTAGCCACATTAATGTGCTTCCTCATAGAAGAAATAGAAGAGAGCAGTGACAACATAATTATCATTCAGTTTGTGAAAACTTAATGAAATATTGGTAAGAATGATTTTTGGCCCAGAGATATTTAAGGAATTTGCGAGGTTGATGTCAGTTTTAGTTTCTGGTTCCTTATTTCTAATTAACTTCCCCTATCTGTCCACTGATCTTTATGGCTTATGAAACATGTGAAGCTCAGTTGTTAAGGTAAGTAATATACTAACCTACATTTGTATAAATACCTCTTTCATTACAAAGTGCTCTTATACATCATTATCCTTAAGATTCACAGTAATCCTATGATGTACTTGATTCATTTGAAAACTGATACACTAGTCAGATTTTAGCTGGCACGAAAAGCTAAAATTTCACTCTACCACTGAGGAAAAATTAAACTAAAGAAGTGGTGGTTATGTGGTTTTAAATGTAACTTCACAAGAGATAACCTAAAATACAGGAACCCTGGATTTGTTTACTGTGCCTTTCTAGTAAAAAAAAAAAAGAATAGTTCCAATTTATATTGCTACCATGAAAACTAAACAAAGGTTTATAACTTCTGTTTGATTTTTATGACTGTGCTAGATTTGTTTCAAAAGTCAGTGAAGTCTGTGGAATACATTGTGTCCTCTTGCTGGCTTCTCAAAGGCAGCCACTCCTAAATTAATTAAAAACAAGAATATATGAGGTATTAGATTATAGTGTTATGTGATTGATGACTCATTTTACTAAAGAATAGATGGGATTACCATTTCACTTATAGGTGTGAATTTATGCTATAAATATATTGCTTTTTAAGAAGTATAGTAATAACAAATGTACTTTGTTTTAAATGTAGGGTGATTTCAAAATATTTTATTAAAATTGTATAATTGATGTGATAACAAGCATAATTTAAAATTTGACCCATAGTAATATTTGGTTCAACTAGTTATCCTCCAATTGCTAATAAAATATTTGACTCTGAAGAAAAGTTTCCTGAGGTATATATTATATAAAAAGATGATGAAAAGCTTTAAAAGACCAGTTTTGGGTAAGTTGTAATTAATTTGGGAGTAGTACTGAAGCAGCGAGCTTTTAAGATGGTGATGAAAAGGAAAGGTTTTTTTTCTCCTAGAGCCTTGGAGTATTCAGTCTCATTTCAGAGGCACGCTGTAAAATGCTAGATGCAATGGTTAGCCATCATGTTATGACAAAAGGTCTGGTAAATGTGGCTGATTTCACAAAGTTTGGTTTTGCTGACTTAACCATTATACTTAGTAATCATCTTATCTTATATGCTCCTGGGCATTGTTGGTATGTGACTAATAGTGATCTCAAACAAACTGAGTTTTTATATCCAAATGAATATTGATCCTTTGAGTTTTGTTACCTAGAAAGACTGCTATATTTATTCCAGTGATCTGTGAGTGTTTGAGTCTTGCATCCTCTCTTTTAGAATTGCTTTTAAAGTCTCAGAAATAATATTCTTTCAGAATGCTCAAGTCACATTTTTATTCTCTGAGGGTAATTTTCAGAAAGAATTAGACATCGTTCAGAACCTCATTCAGATAATCAAATTAGGAATTTAAATAATAACATATAAAGTAATGAGGCATACTGTGTTGTGGCTTGTAACAAACTAGCTCCAAAAGCCAAAACAAGTTTGTTCATTAAAATAAATGTACCCCCCTGCAAGGTGACTGCCTAAAAGAAAATGTATTTGATGTATAAGTTGAAGTTCATGTATTTAAGGGTGTATCATCTTTACCTAATAGTTATATCTGGTGTAAGAACTTGGGGTGGTTCCAAAGCTAAACAATGAAGAAGATTGAATTACTTTGATAGTCACCAAACAATTGTGCCTATGCAGGTAAAGGAATAACAGGGATATTCAGAGGATGTCTTATGACCCCAGGAGCAAGGCAATCTCCTGAGACCTTCTAGGGTTATAATTACAGGCTTCTAAAAGCAGGAGAGAATCATCCTGAAGATTTCAGGGACTTCCTGTGTGTTTCTTTGGGCTCAAATATTTGAAGAGAGAATTATTAGCCAATTGCTTAGGATACATATTTATGTATAGACACACACTGAATCCCCCCCCTTTTTTTAGGGTATTCTTGATATACACTCTTATGAAGTTTTCACATGAAAAAACAATGTAGTTACTACATTCATCCATATTACTGTGTCCCCCCACCCATATTCCATTGCAGCCACTGCCCATCAGTATAGTAAGATGCCACAGATTCGCTGTTTGCCTTCTCTGTGCTACACTGTCTTCCCCATGATCCCCCGCACAATGTATGCCAATCATAATACCTCTCAATCCCCTTCTCCCTCCCTCTCCACCCGCCCTCTCCCACCCCTCCCTTTTGGTAACTGCTTGTCCCTTCTTGGAGTCTGTGAGTCTGCTGCTGTATTGTTCCTTCAGTTTTGCTTTGTTGTTATACTCCACAAATGAGGGAAATCATTTGGTACTGGTCTTTCTCTGCTGGGCTTATTTCATTGAGCAAAATATCCTCCAGCTCCGTCCATGTTGTTGCAAATGGTAGAATTTGTTTCTTTCTTATGGCTGAATAGTATTCCATTGTGTATATATACCACATCTACTTTATCCATTCATCTACTGATGGACACTTAGGTTGCTTCCTTATCTTGGCTATTGTAAATGGTGCTGCAATAAACATAGGGGTGCATATGTCACTTTGAAACTTGGATCCTGCATTCTTAGGGTAAATTCCTAAGAGTGGAATTCCTGGGTCAAATGGTATTTCTATTTTTAGTTTTTTTGTGGAACCTCCATATTGCTTTCCATAATGGTTGAACTAGCTTACACTCCCACCAGCAGTGTAGGAGGGTTCCCCTTTCTCACATCCTCACCAGCAATTGTTCTTAGTCTTTTCAATACTGGCCATCCTAACTGGTGTGAGGTGATACCTCATTGTGGTTTTTATTTGCATTTCCCTGATAATTAGTGACGTGGAGCATCTTTTCATGTGCCTGTTGACCATCTGAATTTCTTCTTTGGAGAATTGTTTGTTCATATCCTCTGCCCATTTTTTAACAGGGTTATTTGCTTTTTGGTTGCTGAAGCATGTGAGTTCTTTATATATATTGGATGTTAACCCCTTGTTGAATATGTCATTTACAAATATATTCTCCCATACTGTACGATGCCTTCTTGTTCTGTTGATGGTGTTCTTTGCCATACAGAAACTTTTTAGTTTGATGTATTCCCATGTGTTAATTTTTGCTTTTGTTTCTGTTGCTTGGGGAGATGTATTCAGGAAAAAGTTGCTCATGTTTATATTCAGGAGATTTTTGCCTGTTATCTTATAAGAGTTTTATGGTTTCATGACTTACATTCACATCTTTTGATCCATTTTGAGTTTACTTCTGTGTATGGGGATAGACAATAATACAATTTCATTCTCTTGCATGTAGCTGTCCAGTTTTGCCAACACCAGTTGTTGAAGAGGCTGTCATTTCCCCATTGTATGTCCATGGCTCCTTTATCATATATTAATTGACCATATATGCTTGGGTTTATGTCTGGACTCTCTATTCTGTTCCATTGGTCTATGGGTCTGTTTTTGTGCCAGTACCAAATTGTCTTGATTACTCACACGCAGAATTTTATATACATATTTTGTGTTTTTTCTAATTGTAAACATTTAAAAATATTTCATTTTTAAATTAAATAAAGGCAAAAAAGTTCAGATAAGGAAAAAAACCATTTATGTCACACCTATCAGAGAAATCCTCATTGACCTTTTGCTAACATTCTTTCTTCTCTGTGTTAATAATGTTGAGATCATACTGAACTTGCAATTCTGAATTTTTTTTTTACTTATTCTCAAGTCAATAAAAATTCTTTGTGAAAACAATATTTAGTGTCAGTCCTTTGGTTTTTTATTATCTATCTACATATGGGACATGAAGTTTACTGTTAAGCCAAAGTTTATTATTGAAGAAATAATAAAAGCTTAATATTATTTCATCTCTCACATTCATGGTATCAAAAGTATCAGAAGAAAAATTTATGAAACGAAGATTCATAAAGCATTTGATGGGCTTATGCTTTCTTAGTCCCCTAGGCTTCATTTATTTATTATTTGTAAGTGTTTTTCCTTGCTAGTATGTAGCCAGAGTAACTAAGAGAAAAAAAACATATTTCTTCTCTCTCCTGTTGAAGGTGGTTGGAGGCAAAGTAAAGAAGCCCGGCAAACGTGGTCGGAAGCCTGCGAAAATTGACTTGAAGGCAAAACTTGAGAGGAGCCGGCAGAGTGCAAGGGAATGCCGGGCCAGAAAAAAACTGAGATACCAGTATTTGGAAGAGTTGGTATCCAGTCGGGAAAGAGCCATATGTGCCCTCAGAGAGGAACTGGAAATGGTAAGAAAGTCTGTTGCATGACACAATCCACCTAAGCTTAGTAGTCAAGTATACATTCAAACACAAAGATACCTATTTTCACCTATTTTCATACACTGATGGTAGGAACAGAATGTACATGACTATTTCATTGAGGGATTGTTTGTGATAGAAAAAAATGGAAAATAACCCAAATGTACAACAGAGGATTGGTTAATTATATATTAGTTTTACTGATGTAGAAAGATGTTTACAGTATTATTGCTAAGTGGAAAAAGTAATATAATAGTATGTAACAACATACACAGCATGATACCATTTGTGTTTAAACATATTTATTTGGCATGTTTTATTCATTCAGACCCCCTTTGGGTAATGCCTATAGAAATGTAACAAAACAGGTGAAAGTATGGAAACCTCACTACTGTAGCTTAGGGGAAGACGTGGCAGGTTGGAGAAAAGGGAGAGAGTGCTACCATGGGCATTACAAAACTGAGACAACCTACCGCAGTTTTTTTAGAAGCTAAAAAGTAGGTTGGAGCACAGAGTCCAGACATACACTACTCAGTAGATTTTTTTTTGTGTAATTAATATACAGTCACATGAGCAACATTGTGGTTACTAGATTCCCCCCATTATCAAGTCCCCATCACATACCCCATTACAGTCACTGTCCATCAGCGTAGTAAGATGCTATAGAGTCACTACTTGTCTTCTCTGTGCTATACTGCCTGCCCTGTGCCCCTCTACATTATATGTGCTAATCATAATGCCCCTTAATCCCCTTATCCCTCCCTTCCCACCCATCCTCCTCAGTCCCTTTCCCTTTGGCAACTGTTAGTCCATTCTTGGGTTCTGTGAGTCTGCTGCTGCTTTGTTCCTTCATTTTTTGCTTTGTTCTTATGCTCCACAGATGAGTGAAATCATTGGTACTTGTCTTTCTCTGTCTGAGCATAATACCCTGTAGCTCCATCCATGTTGCTGCAAATGGTAGGATTTGTTTTCTTCTTATGGCTGTGTAATATTCCATTGTATATATGTACCACATCTTCTTTATTCATTCATCTACTGATGGACAGACACTTAGATTGCTTCCATTTCTTGGCTATTGTAAACAGTGCTGTGATAAACATAAGGGGTACATATGTCTTTTTGAAACTTGGATCCTGCATTCTTAGGGTAAATTCCTAGGAGATGAATTCCTGGGTCAAATGGTATTTCTATTTTTAGTTTTTTGAGGAACCTCTGTAGTGCTTTCCACAATGGTTAAACTAGCTTACCTTCCCACCAGCAGTGTAGGAGGATTCCCCTTTCTCCATATCCTAGCCAGCACTTGTTGTTCCTTGTCTTTTGGATGTTGGCCATACTAACAGGTGTGAGGTGATATCTCATTGTGGTTTTAATTTGCATTTCCCTGATAAGTAGCAATGTGGAGCATATTTTCATGTGCCTGTTGGCCATCTGAATTTCTTGTTTGGAGAAATGTCTGTTCATATCCTCTGCCCATTTTTTAATAGGGTTATTTGCTTTTTGGGTGTTAAGGCTTGTAAGTTCTTTATATATTTTGGATATTAACCGCTTGTTGAATATGTCATTTACAGATTTATTCTCCCATACTGTAAAATGCCTTTTTGTTCTGCTGATAGTGTCCTTTGCTGTACAGAAGCTTTTTAACGTGATGTAGTCCCATATGTTTATTTTTTATTTTGTTTCCCTTGCTCAAGGAGATGCATTCAGGAAAAAGTTGCTCATGTTTATATTCAAGAGATTTTTGCCTATGTTTTCTTCTAAGAATTTTATGGTCTCATGACTTACATTCATGTCTTTGATCCATTCTGAATTTACTTTTGTGTATGGGGTTAGACAATAATCCAGTTTCATTCTCTTGCATGTAGCTGTCCGGTTTTGCCACCACCAGTTGTTGCAGAGACTGTCATTTCCCCACTGTATATCCATGGCTCCTTTATTGTATATTAATTGACCATATATGCTTGGGTTTATATGTGGGCTCTCTATTCTGTGCTATTGGTCTATGAGTCTGTTCTTGTGCCATTACCAAATTGTCTTGATTACTGTGGCTTTGTAGTAGAACTTGAAGTCAGGGAGCATAATGCCCCCTGCTTTATTCTTCCTTCTCTGGATTGCTTTGGCTATTCAGGGTCTTTTGTGGCTCCATATGAATTTTAGAACTATTTGCTCTTGTTCATTGAAGAATGCTGTTGATATTTTGATAGGGATTGCATTGAATCTGTAGATTGCTTTAGGCAAGATGACCATTTTGACAATATTAGTTCTTCCTATCCATGAGCATGGGATGTGTTTCCATTTATTGGTATCTTTTTTAATTTCTCTCATGGTGTCTTGTAGTTTTCAGAAATAGGTCTTTCACTTCCTTGGTTAGGTTTATTCCTAGGTATTTTATTCTTTTTGATGCAATTGTGAATGGAATTGTTTTCCTGATTTCTCTTTCTGCTAGTTCATGGTTAGTGTATAGGAATGCAACAGATTTCTGTGTATTAATTTTGTATCCCTCAACTTTGCTGAATTCAGATATTAGATCTAGTAGTTTTGGAGTGAATTCTTTAGGGTTTTTTATGTACAATATCATGTCATCTGCAAACAGGGACAGTATAACTTCTTCTTTGCCAATCTGGATGCCTTTTACTTCTTTGTGTTATCTGATTGCCGTGGCTAGGACCTCCAGTACTATGTTGAATAAAAGTGGGGAGATTGGGCATCCTTGTCTTGTTCCCAATCTTAATGGAAAAGCTTTTAGCTTCTCACTGTTAAGTATGATGTTAGCTGTGGGTTTGTCATATATGGCCTATATTATGTTGATGTACCTGCCCTCTATACCCATTTTGTTGAGAGTTTTTGTCATGAATGGATGTAGAATTTTGTTAAATGCTTTTCGGCATCTATGTAGATGATCATGTGGTTTTTGTCCTTCTTATTATTGATGTGGTGGTTGATGTTGATGGATTTTCAAATGTTGTACCATCCTTGCATCCCTGGAATAAATCCTACTTGATCACAGTGTATGATCTTTTTGATGTATTTTTTTATTCAGTTTGCTAATATTTTGTTGAGTATTTTTGCATGTATGTTCATCAGTGATATTGGTCTGTAATTTCCTTTTTTTGTGGTGTCTTTGCCTGGTTTTGGTATTAGAATGATTCTGGCCTCATAGAATGAGTTCGGAAGTATTCCCTCCTCTTCTACTTCTTGAAAGACTTTAATGAGGATGCATATTAGGTCTTCACTAAATGTTTGATAAAATTCAGCAGTGAAACCATCTGGTCCAGGGATTTTGGTCTTAGGTAGTTTTTTGATTACCAGTTCAATTTTGTTGCTGGTAATTGGTCTGTTCAGATTTTCTGTTTCTTACTGGGTCAGCCTTGGAAGGTTGTATTTTTCTATAAAGTTGTCCATTTCTTATAGGTTATCCAGTTTGTTATCATATAATTTTTCTTAGTGTTCTCTCATAATTCTTTGTATTTCTGTGGTATCCATAATGATTTTTCCATTCTCATTTCTGATTCTATTTATGTGTGTAGACTCTCTTTTTTTTCTTGATAAGTCTGGCTAGGGGTTTATCTATTTTGTTTATTTTCTTGAAGAACCAGCTCCTGCTTTCATTGATTCCTTCTATTGTTTTATTCTTCATGATATTATTTATTTCTGCTCTAATCTTAATTATATCCCTCCTTCTACTGACTTTGGGCCTCATTTGTTCTTCTTTTTCTAGTTTTGTTAATTGTGAGTTTAGACTGTTCATTTGGGATTGTTCTTCTTTCCTGAGGTATGCCTGTATTGTGGTATACTTTTCTCTTAGCATGGCCTTTGCTGTGTCCCACAGATTTTGCAGTGTTGAATTATTGTTGTCATTTGTCTTCATATATTGCTTGATCTCTTTTTATTTGGTCAGTGATCCATTAATTATTTAGGAGCATGTTATTAGGCCTCCATGTGTTTGTGGGCTTTTTTGTTTGTGTAATTTATTTCTAGTTTCTTACTTTGTGATCTGAGAACCTGGTTGGTACAATTTCAATCTTTCCAAATTTACTGAGGCTCTTTTTGTGGCCTAGTATATGATCTATTCTTGAAAATGTTTCATTTGCACTTGAGAAGAATGTGTATCCTGTTGCTTTTGGATGGAGTGTTCTGAAAAAGTCTGGTAGGTCCATCTGTTCTAATACATTGTTCAGTGGCTCTGTCTCCTTACTTATTTCTGTCTGGTTGATCTGTCCTTTGGAGTGAGTGGTGTGTTGAAGTCTCCTGAAATGAATGCATTGCATTGTTTCCCCCTTTAATTCTGGTAGTATTTGTTTCACATATGTAGGTGATCCTGTGTTGGGTGCATAGGTAATTATAGTAGTTACATCCTCTTGTTGGACTGAACCTTTTATCAATGTAATGTCCTTCTTTGTCTCTTGTTACTTTCTTTGTTTTGAAGTCTGTTTTGTCTGATACCAGTACTGCAACTCCTGCTTTTTTTCTCCCTATTAGTTGCATGAAATATCTTTTTCCAAGGATATCCAGGGACTGGATTCCTTCAGTCTGTTTAAGTCTTTGGATTTGAAGTGAGTCTCTTGTAGGCAGCATATAGAGAGATCTTGTTTTTTTATCCATTCAGTGACTATATATCTTTTGATTCATACATTCAGACTATTTACATTTAGGGTGATTATCGATAGGTATGTGCTTATTGCCATTGCAGGCTTTAGATTCATGTTTACCAAAGGTTCAAGATTAATTCCCTTACTATCTAACAGTCTAATTTAACTCACTTAGTATGCTATTACAAACACAACCTGAAGGTTCTTTTTTTTCCTCTTTTTTCTTCCTCCTCCATTCTTTATAAACTAGATATCATATTCTGTACTCTTGTCCCTTGATTGACTTTGGGGGTAGTTGATTTGATTTTACATCTGCTTAGTAATTAATTGTTTTACTTTGCTGGGGTTTTATTTCCCTTGGTGACAGCTATTTAGCCTTAGGAATACTTTCATCTATAGCAGCCCCTTGAAAATGCTCTGTAGAGGTGGTTTGTGGAAGGGAGATTCCCTCAGTTTTTGCTTATCTGAAAATTGTTTAATCCCACCTTCAAATTTAAATGATAATCCTGCCAGGTAGAGTATTCTTGGTTCAAGGCCCTTCTGTTTCATTGCATTGGATATATCATGCCATTCCCTTCTGGCCTGTAAAGTTTCTGTTGAGAAGTCCGATGATAGCCTCATGGGTTTCCTTTGTATGTGATCTTTCTTCTCATTTTAGCTGCTTTTAAAAGTATGTCCTTATCCTTGATCTTTGCCATTTTAATTATTATTAGTCTCAGTGTTGTCTTCCTTGGATTCCTTGTGCTTGGAGATGTGTGGACTTCCATGGCCTGAGAGACTATTTTCTTCCCCAGATTGGGGAAGTTTTCAGCAATTATTTCTTTAAAGACACTTTCTATCCCTTTTTCTCTCTCTTCTTCTGGTACCCCTGTAATATGAATATTGTTCTGTTCGGATTGGTCACACAGTTCTCTCAATATTATTTCATTCTTAGGGATCCTTTTTTCTCTCTGTGCCTCAGCTTCTTTGTATTCCTCTTCTCTAATTTCTATTCCATTTACCATCTCTTCTACTACATCTAATCTGCTTTTAAATCCCTCCATTGTATGTTTCATTTCAGATAAGGAATTTCTTAATGATTGAATCTCCATCCTAAATTCATCCCTGAGTTCTTGAATATTTTTCTGTACCTCTGTGAGCATGTTCTTGATTTTTATTTCAAAGTCTCTTTCAGGAATATTGGTTATTTCAGTCGCATTTGGCTCTTTTCCTGGTGTTTGCGAGATTTTTGTTTGAACCAGGTTCCTTTGATGTTTCATATTTGTATGTGGCACCCTCTAGTGACCAAAAGCTCTAGTCTCTGGAGCTGCTTAGCCCCTGGAGTGATGTCGCGGGTAGCAGGAGAGCAGCACTGGTGCCTTGGGGAGGAGGAAAGAGCTGTTTCCTGCTTCCTGGCTGCAGTGCCTGTCTCCACTGTCAGAACCAGTGGGCCAGTACACAGGTGTAAGCCTCTGTGCTTTGTGTCTGTAGCTACCGTAGGTGGGGCCTCCCTCTCGCTGGCCTGATGCCAGGGTAGGGACTGCTGGTTTGCAAGCTGGTGCTGGCGGGCCAGGTAAAAGGCGCAACAGGCTGCATATCACAGTGGGAGTCCGCAGAGCTGAGTAGCCAGCAGGGTAATGGAGTGCCTGAAGCTCCTGAAAGTTCCCAACCTGCTGGGCAGAGTGTACCCAGACAACCTTGTCCACCTATCCTTCTCCTGCGCAGCAAGCTCCACACAAACCCCACCCCTTCAGCAGCCCTCTCTTTGCTAGGAAGCCACTCAGACTGCCCACCTTTCCTTTGTCCCAGAGCAGCTAGATGTGGATCCCTGTCCTCTGCAAATGGCTGGAATCTCAAGTGTCTCCAAATATTCTGCCTGTCTTAGCTTTCCAACCCGTTAATCTCCAGAGCATCATGCAATGTAGGTTTGTGCTCCCAAAGCAGATCTCCGGGGCTGGGTGTTCAGCAGTTCTAGGCTTTCACCCACTCCCTGCTCCATTTCTCTTCCTCCTGCCAGTGAGCTGGGGTGAGGAAAGGGCTTGGGTCCCACTGGATGAAGCCTTTGGTATGTTACCCTGTCTCATGAGGTCTGCTCTGTTCTTCAGGTGTATGCAGCCTTCTTTCCTGTTACTCTTTTAGGATTAGTTCTATTAACTATATTTCTGTAACATATGTCGTTTTGGGAGGAGTTCTCTCTCTCACCTCTCACTCTGCCATCTTGAATCTCTACTCAGTAGATTTTTAAGATGTATACTAAATTTGACTTATGCTATAAATTATTTCTTACTTTCTGCATTGTAAGCCACTTGAGGTCATAATCTTCAGACTGATCAATCTTTGTGTGCCCCAAAGTCCTTAGTACACACTCTGGTAGAAAGAAGATGTTTAATGAATGTTTATGAAAGAAAGGAAATTACAAAATTCTTTATTTTAGGAGTAGAAATAATGTGACAAGTACCAAAAAACATATGAATTCTAATTACTGCCATATTGTGAGGAGATGTTCTTTTAACCAGAGGGACCTTTTCAATCTGAGCAGTACTCCAGGATATCATAAGAAGATTGAGCAGAAGTTTTTTGCCCTCTTCCAAAAGATGGCAGGCCTTATACATGTCTTAGGTTATAAAGAGCAGATACAATGGAGAGTGGGATTCCCAGCAATCAATGCAGTGCATCTGGGTATGGGAGTTCTTGTGTATAGGATTTCTACTAGTGGTTCCTGAACTCTGACTAGTAGAATTTCACTTCAGTATATTTTACATATTTCAGTACAAGCAGTGGTGTATGGCGATGGACCAAGGAAAAATCCCTTCTGAAATCAAGGCCCTACTCACTGGAGAAGAGCAGAGCAAATTTCAGCAGAACTCAAGCAGGCACATGAAAGCTGGGAAGACAGACGCTAATAGCAATTCCTGTGCGTACAATACATGGGAGAGTTTGTAGTACTTTCCTTACTGTGTCTTTGAATAAAATGTTGCTGTTATTTGTAGTTCACTAAGCAAGTGAAGTGGTGTTAGATTCTAAATGTTGAAATGTGTTTTACGTGGGGTCTGTAAAGAGCAACCAATACATTTTTATGAAATTCTTGTATTAAGTTGCTTAGTTCATAAATGGAAGTATACCATCCTAGTTATTGTTAATAATATCTTTTATTTATATTTTGATTTATAGCTTAGAAAGTACTTTCATATATTTGTCTTATGTATTTCCTGTAATAATCGTATTAAGGAATTACCCTTGTTGTTTTATAGGTGAAGGAATAAGGAATAGAGGGCTGGGTAGGGTGCCCAGGATTACACAGCTATAATTGTAGAACCTCTCCTTACTCAGTCCAGGCTCTGTCTAATATAGTAGCCTATCACTGGAAGGATTTTTTTTAAAAAGATAAAATTCACATAACATAAAATCAACCACTTTAAAGTAATAATTCAGATTCGTTTAGACATTCACAGTATTGGTCAACCACCACCCTGGTCTACTTGCAAAATATTTCAGCATCCCAAAGAAAACCGCCAACTCAGTTAGCAGTTACTTGTTATTACCCTCTCCCTCCAGCCCCTGGCAGCCATGAATCTGCTATCTGTCTGTGGATTTACCTATTCTGGGTATTTAATATAAATGGAATCATACAGTATATGACTTTTTGTGACTGCCTGTCTCACCTAACAATGTTTTTAAGGTTTGTCCATGTTGTAGAATGTATGAATACTTCATTTTATGGCTGCATAATATTCCATTATATATGTATACTGCAACTTGTTTATCCATTGTCCATTGATGGACATTTGTTTCTACCTTTTGGCTATTGTGAACAGTGCTGCAATGAAAATGTATGGACAAGTATGTGTTTTAGTACCTGTTTTCAGTTATTTTAGGTATATGCCTAGAAGTGGAATTGCTGGGTCATTATGGTAATTCTTTATTTTAGAGGAAACACAAACTTTTCCACCGTGGCTGAAATAATTTACATTCCCCCAGCAATAAATGAAGATTCCCATTTCTCTACATCTTGCCAACACTTTTTATTTCCTTTTTTTTAAAAAATGTAGTCTTCCTATGGGTATGTAATGGTATCTGACTGTGATTTTGATTTTCATTTCCCCTTATGACTAATGATGTTGAACATCTTTTCTTGTGCTTATTGGCCATTTGTATATCTTCTTTGAAGGAATATCTAAGCTCATCACCCCTGTTTATTTTTTAATATTTTTGAGTTTTTTAATTGAAGCATACTTGACATATAATACTATATTAGTTTCAGGTGTACAACATAGTGATTCAGCAATTTTATACATTATGAAATGCCTACCATGATAAGTGTAGTTACCATCTTACTACAAGCTTACTACAGTATTCTTGACTATATTCCCTATGCTGTACATTTCATCCCCATGACTTACTTTATAATTGGAAGTTTGTACCTTTTATCCCCTTCACCTGTTTCATGCATTCCCCCTTTTGCCTGCCCATGTTTTAACTGAGTTGTTTTCATTTTGTTGTTGAGTTATAAGAGCCCTTTATATATTCTGGATTCTAGACCTTTATCAGATAATGTGTTTTACAGATATCCCATTCTGTAGGTTGTCTTTTCACTTTCTTGATAGTGTTCATTGGTACACAAAAGATTTTAATTTTTATGAAGTCCAGTTTATCTAATTTTTCTTTTGTTTTTCATATTTTGGGTGTCATGTCTAACAATCCACTCTCAAACCCAAGGTCATGAAGATTTACTCTTATGTTTTCTTCTAAGAATTTTATTGTTTTAACTCATATATTTAGGTCATTGATCCATTTGTGTTAATTTTTCTATGTTGAGTGAGGTAAGGATCCAGCTTAATTCCTTTAGATCTAAATATCCAATTGTCTGAGCACCATTTGTTGAAGAGACTATAAAGATTTTACAATGAAAATGTCATGTGTTAATTTATTCATCATTGTGATTGCTTTGGGAACACTTGAAATAGTTATAGGGAAATGTTATAAATTTCTTGTTTTAGAACACTTTTTTAATAAAAATTGAAGGATTGGCTTTTGGATAACTTACTAGATAAGGTAATATTTGCCTTAATCTAAATTAATGAAAATAACCCAAATCAGCTCAGTTCTTTTTTTTTTCCAGTCTGTTTAAAAACAGCCTTCTTATAAATAAACAAATTCATGCATTATAAAACAGATTAACCAAACTTCATTGACTTTAAAAACATTCTTACATTGGTAACTTTGATTTGTTTTTCAGGGTGAAGAGCATATAAATGATGAGTCAGTGACTGAAGCCAATATTCTTATTCCTATGGAGGATGAATGGGCAAGATTATACTTCTTGGTTCCGTTAACTACCTACTGCTCAGTAGTCATCTCTGTAAATCTGTAGTTTCTACTGAAATGTGTGATCATAGATCTCAAAGGATTTTGCTTTAACTTTCAACACTTAGAAAATTTATAAAATTCAGACCTGTTCTGGTTAGTATTGCCACCCATGGAATTTAACTGTTACAGTGCTTAAGAACACAGAAATAGAAATGGGTGAAGAATGTATTTTTGCACCTTAACTCCACATTGCTTTATTGTTTAATTTATATTCTCTCCATGTAATTCATGTAAATGTATGTATATGTATGTATAGGTATCACCTCCTTTCATGTGCTTGATTGTCCTACAAAAAGAAACCAAATGGACTGATTACTAAGTTCTCAGTCTTTATGGACCTAACCTTATTTCATTATATTTACTTGAGTAACATATATTTTCTGCATGAACCATGATTTCTCCTGTGAGCCATTCCAGCATAAGCTGTGAATATGTATTAACAAATATATATATATACATTTCTATTTTTATAATCCATGGTGGTATGCCTGTTTTAAATAATGTACATGTTAACAAAATCTGTCAGGAAAGCCCACAAGACAGCCTCTATTTGAAACTTTTGTGGCTGTCTTTTCAAACTGTATTTACAGAACTTTTCTAGGGCCTAATCCATATTTGGAGAATAATTAGTCATATTTTATTAAGCGGGAGGTAACCTTTTAGGCATTTCAGCAGAATACATCATTTTGGCAACCTAGAGTGTATGTGTATGTGTTTCTCTTGTATGTCTATATATGTATGTGGGGACGGTAGGAGTGAATGTTCACACACATTTCCTTGTGTCGTTAACTAACTTGGAGAATTTTTCTAAAGAAAATAGGATGAAATTAGCTGCTGAGGTTGAGTTCCTGCCTCAAGAGATCTGGAACAAAATGAGGGATGAACTGCTAGTACATCTAATGGCTGTAGCCATAACCAGAACACTTAGTTTCTTCCCTGACGCAAGTTTCCTTATGAGTGTTCTAAGCCAAAAACAAACACACCAGGGGTGCGTGTCTGGTTCAGCCCCGGCCGTGCCTCCACTCTGGAGTGAAGCCCTGGAGCCGAGAGTTGTGCACAGCACCACAGCTCAGGGGCTTGGTAGGAGGTGCAGGAAGCCAGGTGGTTCTCTCCGGTTCCCATCACAGCCACATTTACTTTCTTCCTGCCTACCAGGTGGAGTGATGGTTGGGGAATTAAACACATAATATGATACACTCAGATAGACCTAGGAATCTTTTAATTTCCCCAAAGAGACACTTCATCACTCTTTCTCCTCTTTCCCATAGTTAAATCAGGAGTCGTGCTCTCTGTTGCTGCTAAATTATAATTGCTCTTTGGTCTTATGAAACAAATATTTGGCTTTCAATTAAAACATGTTATGAAAATGGCAGTTTAAGAGGAAGCATTATAGTCTAGGTTGTCTGTGAGGTGGAACATGAGATGGACCACATAGTTTCAGAATACAGGGAACTGCCCTCCTTCTCTTAGGAATGTGTTTGAATAAAGTGCCTCCCCTTAGCCTGAGTTCCTAAAGGTCTCTTGTGCTTAGGTTGCAAACTCAGATCTCTAGTCTAGTCCTGTGTGACTACTGATAAACCACTAGCCCAGCCTGTTGGGTCTCTGTTTTGGAGGACTGGGGGTTTAAGAGTATATAATGTCTTCTTAGGATCACAAATATAAATAGACTAAGGATTGTTAATATTCCAGTGTTCAGAATTTAAGTGTTTTAAATATAGTGTTCTGATTCTAATGGGTGTATTTTTGTCATCTGGTCTACTCAAATATATATTTCTATTCCGCAAAATGACCCAAGACTTCTTGGTTCAGTACCCTTTGAATTGCCCAAAAGAGTTGTCTTCAAAACAAACATTCCAGAATGAATGTGGCTCTTCAATGGAATTGCCTGCATTGTGCTTGAAGTATTTCTTCTCTGGTTGTACCTCTAATTTACAGTCATTTGAGCTACCCCATCCCCCATGGGATCTTTACAAGAGCAGTGACTTCATCCCCAGGTAAAGGATGTGTAATTCGGGGTGAAAATAAATTGCAATTTATTTGAGTTTATTCCTAAACCTGTTTGCTATTTTGGCGTAGATCAAAGCAGGAGAAAGTTCCTTGTTCTTAAAAAGGAATGTTTTGGTTACTCTGGGTTGTGCCAGCTGCGCACTTTGGCCACTTGAAGCATGTTAATAAATGTCACTGACTGAAACAGCTGGAACATTCTTTCCCCAGTCCAGTCACAGAGCAGCCTATCGAATCCTAGTATCTCTCACTACCTGTAATGGCAGCACACAGGCCGGGAGAGCACAGAGGAGGGTGAGAGCCCGGTGAGCTCTGTCCCCTGAAACAGTGCTGTTCTCCTTGCTTCCTGAGTACACAGTAATGTTTCCTTTTTCTTTTTTTCCCCCCCAAAGAAAGGAAGATAAAGGGAAAAATAAATTTGTGTATTTAAACCAGTGATATTCTGTCATTAATTTAGCATAGATTTGCCATATATTAAAGCAATGGAATATAATATGGAGTAAATTTGACCAGGTCAAGTTTTAGGATATAGTTGAAGTTCTTAAAATTTTTTTTCTATTTTACCTAAAGTCTTTCTGTTAAATCAGAATTAGAATCTTACTGCAGCAAATTCATATCACTGTTTACCAGCTAATTGACAGTATTTATCAGCATTCCTGTTTAGCATTTTATCATCTTTGAACTAAGATAAACTTGATTTGGCTCATTAAAGAAGTTTAGGTTTAAACTGAACTTACCTTTAGTTAAACGCAAAGAAAATTTAAAAATGTAAATGCTATATTTCACAAGAAATCTGTTGCATATTATTAATTACATATTTAGTGTTTAAAGAGAAGATTATTATTAAGCCACAAGGTATTTTGGGCATTGAAGGACTTTTTCTTTCTCTGAAGAGCATTGTACAATAATATTTTTATGAAAAATAAAATACCTTCACCAGAAATATCTCAAGTTGTCTGATTCACAGTGCTGAATATGTCTGTGTAAGCAAAGTGTAGTAAAAAGAGTGTGAGATTCAGGCAGAAGAACAGGTCTTGGATCCATTTTCTGAGTCACCTTGAATTATTGATAATCTCTCAGCCTGTTGCTCATCTCTAAACAAGGGAGAGGATAATGTTCACAGGGAAATTCTGAGAAACTGCTTCTTAAGTAGTAAAGAAAAGTACTACATTAAATTTAAAATGTTTCCCTGTGTCTGACTATTATTAGGATTTTTATCACTAAGGATAATTATATTTAATGAGCTAGAATCTAAACACGTAGCATTGCAGGTATCACATTTCTGACGTCTTTTCAGCTATATCGTTATGTCTGTCCATGGAATGGTATAGTTGGAAGCTCTTTTTAGCAATAATAACCTATTAATTAGACTAATTTGAAGAATAATGTTCCCACTGGCAGTAATCCTGTAATCTGCATAAAGCAGGTTTTCAGGCTGATAGGTAACATGGTTTTCTTTTCTCTTTTTTCAGCCATCTTACTTAACTACAGAGTAGTCATGAATCATAGCTAGGACTGCCTCATAAGGCTGTGCTGATTGTGCACTGCACAAAGGCACCCAGTTGAGAACGTGCATGGGCCTGAATAATCAAGCCCATGTTCCCCTCAACAAGCCATATGTGAAAAAAGGGCACATACAACACTGGCTGCCCAAAGAGATGCCTTGTTCTAATTTACCCAAAGGGGCTGTGTTTCCTAATTCCTCCACCCAGAGAGTCCATTTTTTTTAATGTGCAAAGCAATCTCTTCCTAACAAGTGACATCAGGTTGGCAGCTTTTTATCAGTAACAATTGAAGTATTTACATCATAGAAATCAGTAAGTGCTACAAATCAGGGTCCCCCTCCCCCCAAAACTGCTGCCCAGAGTTGGTTTCCAACACACCGTGAGGAAGGCCTAGTAGAGGCCAGAATGGTTCTGACCAGAGCAGGCACATTTGAGGCCCAAAAATACATAATTGGAGGACACATGGAGCTGGAAGGGCTCTGGGTCGGTAGGCAGCTTGGAGATGTCCATATCGAATTCAGATGACTTCACAAGACAGATGATAGTTGTGGCTCAGAAACTCTTACGGGGTGCAGAGAAACACTCAGCCCAACTCTAGAGATGACTAGGAAGTAAAACAGTTAATTCTTAAAGCAAGCCCTGGGGTGAGAGTGGATACAACCAATTCACGATTGTGCTGTGATCCAGTAACCCAACTGCCTGGTCTGGGGGTTGGGCCGAGTTGGAGAGTGGCCTGGTTCACAGACCATTTTGACTCTGCAGTAAGAGAAACATTTGAGCAGGAAAAATTGGCTGTGATCCAACAGAACCCAATCCAATCCTGCTAGGTCCCAGCGCTCCCTTCCTGAGAAGGAAACCAACGCTCGACAGCATTTTACAGCCTCAGAACAACATGGAAGCAAGTCTGCACGCTGGAGATGACAATTCTTTTGCCCACACTAGGGAAATTTGGGTAGCCCAGAACCAAACAGGCCTAAAGGCCACCCCAAGCCCATACTGAGTTTTGGATCTTACCATTTCAATGGAATGAGAGGATGCCAGCCCAGCACCACGCGAAAAGAACAGAGGATTTATGGCAAAAAAATAAATAAATGATGCCCCTCAAACCTCAGGCCAGCACAAATGCTGCATAAGAGAAGAAAAAGCATTGAAAAAATAAGGAAGAAAGCCAAAAATGGTGGCCAACCCTTCATCCAGAAGGAGGAATTCATGTGGAGTCAAATACAAAATGAAAGCTGGCAGGGCCTCCTCTGAGGGAGCAGACCCATCTTTCTACCACTCCAGACAAAAAAAGAAATACCCATGTTCCCATGAGCCTTTTCAGTGAGGTGAGGAACTCCACCTAGCAACAGCCAATGAAATGTCTTCAAAGCAGAACTAGTCACACCACTCCTTCCTGGGATGGGAAGAAGGGAGCCTTGAGTGCGGATCGGAAGCTCACCAACTAGGGTAACACAACATATTTGGGCTCAGGAGATGGTGACTCATTTAGTTGATAAAGGAGACCCAAACAGACATACGAGAAGTATGAAATAGGAGGTTTAAATGCACTTCAAATGCAAAGATTCATCATGGAGTTCCTTTGAATTACCACTCCAGTAAAATGTAATGTTTTATAGGTCATTATCCACATCATTATGTCCCTGGGGGGTAACAGAAAAACATCAAGCTGACATGTGCTTATTCATTTCTTACCAAATAAAATGAAAATAGAATATCTCTACAAGTATAATATGTACCCAGGGCATTTGGAATTAAGCATGACTTTTCAGGACTATTTTTGTTGAGAAAAGGAAGTAGCCACTTGTGTGCTGGAAGGTGTTTAGCAGCTGACTCTTGGTTGGGGGAGGTCTGGTGTATAGTATTTGCCAATTTTTGGGGTGGAAATATTCCCACCATGGTTGATTTCATGCTACTGAGTTGTCAACCAGCAACCAAAACGTTTGACAATTTAAAAATTGGTTCTTGCAACATGTATGAGGCAACTTCAAGCCACTGGATACCCTACATAGAATGAGGATAGGATAAATTAGGAGGCTTTCAAAGGAAGTCAGCAAACAACGGCCACTGCAACAAGCAGGTGTGGTTTCCATCCATGGAATACACCAAGAGATGATCAATGAACAAATGACTGAGCTTTTGGGGAGAACTCCCCAAATTACAATCAAGGTGACTTTGGTAAAATCCCAAGAAAGCAAACATGAATGTTATATAATTTATTAAGTACAAACCAATTCTGCCCTCTTTTGGACATAGAACTAGACAGAGGATGATCCAAGCAGACACAATGGTGGCCCAAAGAATCAAGGTGGCAGTTTACGCAGCATTCTTTAGGAGAAAGAGAATTTGAATACGGTGGACAAAAATCCAGCCAGAGAAGTTTACACAAACATGGAGCAGGATGGTTTGTTAGGTCCTCCCAACGCCGCATGAGATTGTATTTCAAAATACTTCAGTACTAGAGAGGCTGATTCTAAAGGTTATATGGAAACATCGATTTGTAAGAAGAGCCATAAAAATTCTATAAAAGAAAAATGAGGAATGAAGACCCTACCAAGTATTAAAACACTCTACACCTACAGTAAGTAAAAGGAGTTAAGTACTAGTACATGAATAGATGGATCAATGAAACAAAATAGAGTCCACAAATTGGTGTAAATGCACTCAGAAATTTAATATATGATTAAGGTTGCATTATAAACTAGTGTAGGAAAAAAATGTATTTTTAAAAAAACTGCCATTAAGACAACTGGCTAGCCTTATGGAAAAGATTAGCTCTCCCATTTTTAATAAAATACTTCTTTCAGACTTTGACAAAATTCTAGATGACCAAAGATTGAAACATTCTGCAAAGAAACTGTAAAATACCGGAAGAAAATATGGGAAGTAAAAAAATAAAATAAGAATGGGGTGGGGGTGAGCAAGACTCACAAGACTAATAGCTGACTTCACAAAATAAAAATGTTTGAAAAAAATACCATAACAAAGCTTTAAAAGGCAAATAATGGAAAATATCTGCTCACAACCACAAATTATTTCCTTAAATAATAAGAACACACTGTGTTTTGCAAGAAAGAGTAGTTGGCTTAGGGAGGGGAACATGACCCTCGTCAAGCCAATCAGAATCAAGGAGACTCCGTTCTGCAGCTTTTGTGAGCGATCTGGGAAGCAAATATGCCCTTTCCTGCTGGACTTGAAATATAAAAAGCTGGAAGAGCTAGTGCTGCTCCTCCCATTTTCTTCCACTAAAGGTAAGCTGGGCGGAGCACCACAGAGTGAACTCTCATTACACTGAGTCTGAATCCACCATGCCTGGTTACAGGAGCCAGTTCGTTTGGGTCTGTTCCTTAAGATCAAACATGATCAAACTGATACACGACTCACCACTAAAACAGGTAAAGGACATGAAATAAGAATTGCTTTTCTACATAAGAAAAGTTATTCAACCCCATTCATAAGTAATGTATATCAAAGTGATGGGATACCTTATATCTATCTGGCAAAGATCAAGTTAATAAAGGTTGAATTGTTTGTTAGGGGGAACAGCTATGCTCATATGTTATTGGGTAGGGGTTTGAATCCAGCTGCCCTGCTGGAGTGCAACATTTTGGAAGTTAATTTGAATAACATCTATCAAAATACAAATGCACATACATTTTGACCCCTAACTGCACTTTTACAGAGTTAGCCATCAGATATGTTATGTGCCAAGATATATTTGTAGGATGGTTATGGCAATATTATCTGTAACAGCAAAAGACTGGAAACAACGCAAATGGCCACTAATAAGGGACTGATTAAATAAGTGATGGTATATTCTTATAATGGAATACCATGCACTTACTGAAAAGAATAGTCTGATATGGAATGATTTGTAAGATACATGAAGTGAACAAAGCACCAAATAGTTTGTGTAATATGTCTGTCCTTGTATTTTTTAAAGGGTGTGTTATACAGATTCATGTATTGCTAGATTATTTTTGGATTTAAAAGGATTTATTTAAAAAAATAAACAAAATACCCCTTACCTCTGGAGAAAGGCACTAGGAGACAAGAGATTTAATGTGAGAGATCTACTTTTTTTTATGTCATATTGTGGTGGAAGGCAACTTCTAAAATGGACCCCAATGATCCCTGTCTGGAGTAATCCTCAGTGCTTGACCATGGTATTCACATCCTCGTGTGATCCTTTCCCCTTGAGTGAGGGCAGGATTTGTAACTTCCTTCTGCCCCGTAAAAGTGATGGTATGTTACACCCATAATTAGGTTACTTAAGATCCTCAACGGCTTTATGAGGCAAGCCGCCATACTGGAGAGGTCTATATGGCGAGGCACTGAGGCTGGCCCCCAGCCAACAGCCAGCAAGGAACTGGAACCCTCAGTGCAAAAGCCCTTGGTGACTGAATTCTGACAACCACCATAAAAGCCTGGGAACAGATC